AACCTGTATCCAACTCTGTATTGGCTTTGAATATTTCAACATCGTTTACTTAGTGTGCTGCTTTTCCAATAACGCAAACATGTTTACAGTATTGCACGGGCTCTAAATATTTCAACTTTGCAATGTATTGCTTTTATAATAGTTACGCAAACTAAGTTATTTTTATTATTGTTGGGACACTAACCTGGGCTATTAAAGTTAATATGTAATATTAACCATACAATAACATACAATATCATGCGTAATGTTAACTTTTTCTATAATAAACTCGCAGCACACTTCAATCGCATTATTCACGTACATTTAGACTGAACTCTAATAACCACGCGTTTGAATTACAAAAATGTACCGACATTTAAATTCGGGCAAAACGCAAAACAATACAGTTACTTAACATTTGTTCAAAAAATCGATAAACTCTCACAAATACCATGAACGCGAAGAGTTAACTGAAAGGCAACGTTGTTTTTGACCCCCCAAAAAACACATCAATACAAGATAATGTGTGCAAGGTTAGATTTATAGAACGTACATGACCGCTTAACTCTGTTTTTTTTTAATAATCATGTCGCACGTGAAACACAGGAGACATTTTAGTTTGTCTATTTCTTGTTTACCGATCTTGAACTTTTTGTCTGGAATGCGATACTGGCAAAGAATAAACATTAATGATACCCACCGGAAGGCTCGGCTATTTATAACTTCGTAAATAACATTCTTTTCATGTGGTAGACTTTATTCAAGTGTAACAAACGTAAGTGAAATGTATGGACGAGTCATAATACTTGTACCTTCGAAAATTACGACTTTTACTCTTGGAATTGGCGATAAATACATGCATAAAATACAATATTGTTTCACACAGCAAAAATTTGTATACAGCATTGGACTTGTGGATTTTTATATTAATAAAATACGTGAGCCGATAATATTATCATATGCTTAGTATTTCCATGCCAGCGATGCTCGTAACCTGCTCGATATAAAAACAGCTATTTGAAACAAAGACTCATGGAATCACAAAGGAAACTGTTAAGTACGTATTTCACACCTTTCTTACGACCGCGTTTGCAACCGGTACCGATGGCCACCGCGGTAGAGACCCCTAATTATAAGCAGTCCGCGGCTCTCCCCGGTGTACCGCGTAGAGCCGCGGTGATTACCGCGGTGATTACCGCGGTGAACCTCCCGTTTGATTTCCTACTCTCCCCTTAACAACATACCCCCACATTATAATTTGTCTATCCCTTACCTTGATTCATCTGCCATGTTAGATCTGTCTACTGGAGCCATAAAGCTGATCATCTTCTGATGGACATCATATCTACAAAAGTGATTAATTTAAATCAATACAACAATTTATTTACTACCCTAATTGTGCTTAGGAGCCTACAACTTTATAAAATTTTCTGCAACATACATCTATGAGCTGTTGGCTATTACGGTAAAGCGAGTGCTAAATCCCAAGGTAAATGACAATGTCTGTGTGTCTTTCATAACCATTTCACTGCCATTGTCACTTTCCATAAAACAGTCTCATCAAAATATGTTGAAAACAAATCCAAAGTCAAACAATGTGATATGGACCAAGATTAAACAAAATTTTTCAGTTTCGGGATGCCGAAATGCTTGAATTTGATGAATTTTAACATTTTAAAAATTGGATCATCAAACTAATACATAACGTATGATGAATATATAAAGTTTGAAAATAAACAGTCAGGGTATGTCAGACATGTTGCCCCTCACAGCATTCATTAAAACAAAATGGCCACCAGTCAACCATTTTGAATCTAACCTGAAACATGCACCTGCCCCATCTTGTTTAATCTTTACAAGTCTGAACAAAATCCATCCAAGAACTGGTTCTGGAATGACAGAAATGCTTGATTTTGATTAACTTTAAGCCCAAAAATGATCACTATTTGGCAATCTTGAACCAGATTGTGACGTGCATCTATTTCCCAATATGTGACGATGTATTTGTGAAGTTTTAATATGATCAGTCCATGCATGCCTGAGCGAGACTAATAAGCAAATAACATATTTGCTCAATTGGTAGTGCATGTCTTTTATTGACAGAGGTGGGTCTATAGTCAAAATAATCCATATTTAAATGCATACAGAAAATAATATTTTTGTTTTATATAGGCTTCAATAATAGGCATTTGTTATTCTAAAACCAGCTTCTATCATGGCTGCTATCAAAGTTCAGTATATCTCGGGTGATTTTTGTCAATCATATGTTTATTTCACTATCAATCCCGCCACAGTATCAGTGTGGATTTAGATAACGAAATCGTCATATAATCAACATAATTTTTGCTGCAAATCAAATAAAAGTATAAAGTTCTAGGCAATTTCCAATCAGTGATTTTCTGTTTTCTGCGACATCTTGTGTATTCTGCCTCAAAAATTGATTTTGATTATGAATTTCTTTTTTATAGCTCAATGTCCAAACACCGATATTTGAGAGGGGAATACTGTGTTAAGATACCCATACTTCATTGAAATTGACCATCGTTAAATGTGTATAACACATTAATAAGCATGAACATACTCCCAAAGTGCTTTCATATTTGTCAAATCCCAGCAATGTTTTGATACCTTTGTTTGTCCTGTTTTTTTTTACACGGGATCTCGTGATGAAAGGAAAATTGTCTATTCAAATGACTTAAATTAATAGCTCAAATATGTATAGAGTAGATGTCTTCAAACAAAATTTCCACTTGCCAGTAGTATGAAATATTAATATGATAAACAGTGCTCTTAAGCATGGCAGTGACATATTGATTTATGAGGGAACTTTAATGTTAAAATGAAATTGATGCATGTAATAACTCACTGTGTTCAAATGTAGAACATAGAATAGGAGCATCTGCTTTTGGGATTCTCAAAACAAACATTGCTGTCAATATTTCTAGAAATAATGCAATGTTGCAAGCAAGGTTGATGAGAAGATAGTGAATTTTCCTGATCAGTTTATTTTGGATTTACTGTAATTGCATTTATTTAATTAGTCAAAATTAGCATGTTTTATCCTGCTGACAGTGTAATTTGCTGTGATTTACTCTGTGACCTTCTCTCATCCACAACTGACCTTATTTTTCTTCCTTTACTTGCTCTTGTATCCACATGTTTTTTAATTTTACTTCTTAATCTCTGAATTTGTAACCATTGTCTGGAAAAAAATGACACATTTCTTTTACAATTCACATACTGAATTTAGAACTAACTTGACTTGATTTATCATTACTAAAGTTTGAGGGCGGAAAATAATTTTTTTCTTTGGAAAATGCAAATGACAACAGAAAGTTTACATGTAACGTCATCCTGCTATGCAACTTTTTCATGCATGTTCACTTCATGAATAGTTTTGCCTAAGAAATATAGAGATTTTTCCTCGCATGTTAATAGAACAAATCAGAAAGATATAAAATAAATGCCTGAGATTAATCTTAATTTTAAATATAGAAAATTAGCAAATTAATATGTACAAAAATAAAAATCTGTAGCATCATAAAATGGGAGTACTGCACATTGATATGATTCAATATACACTCACCTTCCCATTGCAATTGGATCTGATGAACCCATGGTACGTTTTTCAATCAACTCTCTCAGAAGCTGAAAACAAAAATATTAAATTTGATTCTACAAAATTATTTAACCAATAAAGGAAAGTAAATAAAGGAAAGTTAGGGAATTACTGCATTCAAGAAAGTATGAAAAAATAGAATTTTTTAGTGAATACATTTTTTAACTTTTATAAAAGCTTTCTGAGTAGCTGTCCAGGTATAGCCTTTCCACTATCAGACTTTCTCACCCAAATTATTCAGTGCTTTTTCTTATATCTTCAGTATTTCTGGAAATAAACCATAATTTTGGAGCCAACAGACAAAAATTGAGTATATTTTCAGTTTTTACTCAAATAATTTGGCTATTTTAGCCCCAATCTTCTGAAGGAAAGTGCATACTATAAATGGGACTATTTCATGAATGAAAAGGGGAACTGGTGGTGAACAGATTCGAAACTAAAAATAAATGTGACTGTAGACAGATGTTTCACCACCTGTTGCTTCTTGTAAAAAAAATCCATAATTTTTTTCTCATTAATTTTGATCAAAAGTTATGGAAAAATACTGAAGAATTTAAAATGTTTACCTGGTGATAAAAGTCGTCATCATCAAAAATCTCTTCGTCATAGTTTTTAAGATGTGAATCAGTAGTTGGAAGTACTTCCTGTTGAAACAACATAGAAAACTATGATTTAAAAACAAATGTATTTTGTAAATGTATTTGGAAAATCAACAATTGTACAGAGGTGGGGGTGGTCGGTTTTAGGGTGTCTGGCTATAAGAATCTCATCTGTTTAGAAATTAGAGATGTAAAATTATTTTTTAGGATGTGGGCAATATGTGCTAGCTTATGGAATTATTGTTAATTTATATTTTTATTCAGATTTTATTTATTTTATATACAATGAACAAGTCATGCCATTATGTAGCAGTGAACTATGCTCACAAAAAGAACCAGTGACTAGTGGCTTTGGAAATGAACTTGAATGAGCAAATTATGACAAAAATTACAGTATTTAACATGAATTGGAGTAACCTTCAAATTGTATATGACACATAAATTACAATTTGACAACAACCTTCATAAAAATTGCTGAATTCAACAATCAACGGTGTGGCTACAGCACTAATAACAATGTGCTTATGGCAGTATAGAACTTGGGTCAGAAAAGAGAGTGACTGATCACACTGTAAGATGTAATAATTTATGGTTGCTATGGTTACAATTAATATATAATAAATAACATTCATAAAATTTCATTTATTTTTGCTGATTACTAACTTTCACCCAACACAGCTGCTACAGCTGAAATGTTAATTCAATATTTATTGAAATTACTAATTTTGGTGAATTTGATGTATTTATTGAGCATAAATTGCAATATTTTATGTAATGTGGATTATGTGCTGTTCTAAATGTAGTAAAACATGTCTGACCTAAATACTAAATGAATTTTATGAATAAAGTATCATGGTTTGGCAACCATGTAAGAACTGGGCTGTCAAAAATGTGAGAACTGGTGGGAAACCATGTTGAAAGAAAAAACAATAAGTTATTTAAACTACAAGACAAAATGACACCCTGACTCATTCTGACAGTTTTACATCTGTATCCATAACAACTGTTTTACAACCACACCCACACGGTATTTATGTTATGACTGATTTTAGCAGTATACAGTGTTTTTCCCACCAAACACAGATGGCATTAGGCTATGAGGAAAGACATGTTATCAGGTGTGTGCAATAACCAATTGTCAAATCTTTGTTGGCTGTCCTATGAGCTGTCAACATTGAAAAAAAATATTTCACTTCCTGTCTACTTTTTGTCTTCTGTTCAGTATGAATCAACACCTGCAATTGTATGTATATAACAACTGTACCAGTCATAATATTTATTAGTGAGCAACATGTTGACATGACGACTATCACATGATCAGTGCATCAACTCATCGACATGTCCAGCAGTCAATTCAACAATCACCACATGACTTTGAAATTCTATGGGTCAACACATTTTGTGTTTTACAAAATAAAATGCTCTGCTTTGCTGAAAAAAGCTTGTGAAAGAGAAGATAATACAAACAAGAGTGACACAAATTACAAATTCAATGCGTAAAACAAAGTGAAAATGTTCCAAAGTTTCAAAGAATTTGGTTCAGCTAATTTGTTATTGAAACACAGACAAGGCAAACATGCATCTTACTTTGTGTAGATACTAGTAGGCATCCAAAAAACAATTAATGAAACAAAAACTTACCTCTTCATTGGCTTCTTCTTTTTCATTTTCCTCTTCCACTGTCTCAGGTTTACCAAGTACTTTATAAACTGACCTTTTCAATTGCGTTCTCTTAACTAATCTTTCTTTATCACTCAGGATGTGCTTGATTTGAGTAATCGCTGAACGGTCGAATGAACTAAATGCCTAGAATTCAACAAAGTACATCATATCACATTAGTTGCAAGGTAAGAGACAATTTTTATTCCAAGGAGGCATGGGGGTACTTAGACTGGTGCAGTCGAGGCGATTAGTTTGTTTTTGTAGTTTATACTGGTTCATTCTGCATGGCCCTCTATCGACACTGCAGGAACCCGGATAATTATGTTAATGAGTGTTCTAATTGACAATCATCTAAACCAATTACAATGTCTCTTCAACTGACCTCTGACCGAGAAGACGTCAGCTGATTGTAGCAGCCGTTTTTTTTTAATTCTACGACTAGTACGAGTTACTTTTTTACACATTGTGATGAATTAGAAACGACGACTGCGACAAACTCAAATTTCAACGTGCCGCCATGTTGGGTCTGCAGTGTGACCTTTACCATGTTGACCTCATTATGCATGTATTTCCACGCCCACCTCAATATAATATGTGCATTCATGAATATTTAATAGCAATGAAATCCCTGCAGAATAAACTAGTCGGGGCTAACCCCTCAATTTCAGGAATTTTTTAATTTTATTTTTTAACAAAAACAAATTAATCGTCCCGACTGCACCAGTTTATGGGGTACTGTAAGCACATTATTAATACACTGGTTTTTAATTTTAGTAAAATCCGCTAAATTAAATCCATGTGAACATGTAAAATAATAATAAAAGTCATTAATAAACCCATTAAAATTGCTCAATACATCAAAGTAGTGAAATTAAATGCCAGTGAAAATAAATGGTTTTATGTTATATAAAATAATTGGCAAAGTAAGGAGGAAACATGTGTGTAGATCTTTTTTTTTCGAACTTAATATTTCAATTATTGTAAAGCTGGTTTTCTTACAATACATCACAAAAGTAATTTTTTTGCTTATTTTTATCTCTTTTTATTTCTAATTTGATAAATACATGCAATAATTAGCCATATGAATTTTTGGTACCAAATGAATATTCCATGTTATGATCTAAGACTAAAAAGTAAGAAAAAAAAATTCTGTTTTTCCAGTAACCCTACCTACCCACAAACAAATGAACTAAAAATTATTTATATTTTATGCAAATAAGCTTGGGTCATTCCACCAATGTTGTCTTATTTTATATTTTATGCAAATAAGCTTGGGTCATTCCACCAATGTTGTCTTATTTTATATTTTATGCAAATAAGCTTGGGTCATTCCACCAATGTTGTCTTATTTTATATTTTATGCAAATAAGCTTGGGTCATTCCACCAATGTTGTCTTATTTTATATTTTATGCAAATAAGCTTGGGTCATTCCACCAATGTTGTCTTATTTTATATTTTATACAAATAAGCTTGGGTCATTCCACCAATGTTGTCTTATTTTATATTCTATGCAAATAAGCTTGGGTCATTCCACCAATATTGTCTTATTTTATATTTTATGCAAATAAGCTTGGGTCATTCCACCAATGTCTTATTTTATTTCATGTACTTCCTTCTATGTAGTGAATGACTAACACTTAGTTGAATTAATAAAATAGATTATGAAACTTACTAAGATGTCATTTTTCACATCTGTAGATAAACCATGATTATGTTCTCACAAAAACTTAAGCATACAACTCATTGACAAAAATAAAGTTATATAAAAATCCCTACGCACTTACCAAATTTGTGTAATCTTGCATATAAATGTAAAACACTTAGACATCTGAAAATTAAAATTTTGTTCAAATAAAAACTAATTTCACGCTATTTGTTATTATGTGACCTGACATATTGGCATTTGACCTGACATACTCATTTGGTGCAACAGAGGTCATTTTGGCCAAGTATTAAATCAATTTGCATACCTTACTGTTGAATTTTCCGGAAACTAATTTAGTTTTGTCGTTCCATTTCTGTATCGTATTATTCTGATATTTTTGGAAGTCTTTATGTCGTTTTGAAATGAACTCGTCATAATCTGTAATATCCAGCTTGCGTTTCCTGTTTACTTGAGACGTCTGTGGTTTTCTTTCCTGTTCCTCATCCCCACTTTCATCACTGGTTATTTCTTCATTACTGTAAGTAGTAAGTAGCAAGTAGTTAATTTTATTAAGTTTCACAACAATTGTCATAAGTATATTTGCAAATAATTAATAAATCCATAGTGTTGTTTTTATTTTCAGTTTAAAAACATAACACGCCTATTAAAAAAATATCAAGTTTTATCCCATACATCCTGGCAGTGCAGTGTAATAATTTTCTATATATCCATACAATGTAATAAAAATAATATTTCGAGATATAGGTGATTTTACACAATATTTCTTGAACTATTATAAAGAATTATATTGATTTGAATCTTTCTGGTAGTTTCAGATGTCGATTAAAATGAGTGTGTGATATAAAGCTGCGTGTGTGTGAAAGACCTCATTTCAAATTCTCCTAACCTCAACTTCTCCGCACATATAAATTTGTTCCAGGCATGCCTTGCAGAAATTTGTCACGAATTGTGCAACCCAAAATTACTAATTATGTTACCAATGCATCCCCATACCATAAATATACTGATGACTCCAAAAATACATGTAACAACATTTGACATTTCATAATGACAATAAGGTAAACTAACAGTAATTGGTGTGCATGGGGATCGATAATTTAAATGAGCTGGAACACAATTTTACAAACTACTATCTCTGCATTAATTTTTAGCCTTTAGAAGCTGGGAAATGGATACATAGAATAAACAGGATATCAAATTTGTAACACTACAATATCATATTTATTAAACATGTAAAAATTTGTATTTGTTCCGAGACTTTTAATTGTAAGTTCATCGTGATTATTTCATACAAACTCTGAAAGCAATTTTTTTTTGGAACACAAGCAACTTTGGACTACCCTAATTGGCCAGTTACTAAAAACTTGATATCATTATCAGCTATTCACAGAGATAAGCAATTTGTACATCTACCAGTCATGGACAAGTGGAAAAGCCTTAATTTTGACCTTTGTTAAGTTACTGTATTTGTTCTATCAGTAAGGCCATGGCTTCAGCAAACGACAGAGGTGTGTCAACAAATAAAATAAGTAATTTTTTTAAAGAATCAGTTTATTTTTTTAAACACGTTTCTGTTTTAGATGCACTTCTAATACGGGACTAAGAATTCTAGAACTATGCTACATATACATTTATAGCACGTTGCAAATCTAAACATAAATTCTATCGTATATCAACAATAGTACAGTATTGACAAAAAGTATAAATCATGCTAAAGTAACCTGTACAGCTCTAGTTATGTATCACATGATAAACAGGATTTTGTTTACACACATCCTGTTTCAAGATATTACTGAAGCATTACCGGTATTCCAGGTATCATAAGTGACATATTGCCATAGTACACTGCCAAAATTTTGAGTCATTTTTTATTAATATTTAACTAAATGGTAAATGGACATAATTTCCCACTGACTACAGATCTTAGGACAAATGCTTGAAAGAAATTAAGAATATGTAAAAAGTTATGCGACTTTGCGAAAAAGAGACATTTAACTTTTGTCAATCAAAAGTTTATTATCCACAGTTTTCCTCTCAACACTTTCTAAAATTTTGGATAAACTTGTACTTGTAATCATCATAGTGGTTATCAGATCACAAACTTTAATAATTTCTACATTTCTACAATATCTACTCTTAGTCTTCATGGTACTTACCTATCATTATTTTGCGTTTCTGTTTGTTTTTTGTTTCCTCCAACCACATGTGCAGTCTCCGGGTTTTGCAGTAGTAATTCCTGCTGCAGTTCTAATAGTTTTGTCAGAAGTATTTTTAATTCTTTCCTTGCTGAAAATCAATCACAAATAAATGTACACAACTGCAGTGGATGAAAACAGAAAGAAGTTTTTTAAAAATTTAAGAGCTACAATTTTCTCCCCAAAAATGTTGGTACAACATTATACGGTCGTCGACCTCCGTTCGTCTAGGAAGACGATGGGTTGTGCCATTATGTGGTTGAACTTGAGCAGCGTCTGTGGTGGCTGTAGAGCCCAATCCTCGAGTGACAGTCCCTGTCACAATCCCCGCAGATGAAAACTGAGTTGTCAAGTGAGCTGGTAGATTCTTTACTGCTCAGTCGCTTCTGTCGCTGTCTTTCATTTTTAGATATTACTACAGTATATAATTTTTGACCAAATCAATCAAATTTTTACAATCACCTACAGAGAGTTTTATTTCTACGAATATATTTATGCCACCTGGCAATTTTATGCTTTTCATTGATTGGTCGATGTGTCACAGTGGTACAATAGTACTGCTTTCAAAGAAGACCACCAAAACATTGTCATGTTGGTGTTTGATTTTCGAACAAAATGAAAGCACAAACAGAGTGGCATTACGGCGGGTTAGCTGTCAATACCACAAAGTGATTTCCTTTGTTTATTTTACTTTGCCTGGCAAATGGCGGGACAGTCAGCTTTGTTAGTAACACCAGGACAGTAACACCTTTGTTATCACCCATAACACCCATCATCCTGCAATGGAATTTTTTGTTTGTAACCTTTTTTTCACCTTTTTCCTTAAGTTTATGAAAAGATCATTATCAGCTATCGGTAGCCTCAAAGTATACAGGGAAAGACAATAGCCAGGCATGTCTTAATCAGAATCAGACAAAACCAGCACAAACGTTGAGATGGACTGAAGGTGAAGTTGGCTGGTTGCCAATGATCAGATTTCCTTGAATTTTGCAATATGGTTTCATGTCATGTCACAAAACCCAAGTATTTGTTCACTAAACTACTTGTTGCATAAGATACATGTCACGCTAATTATCATTGGTTTCTATGGTAAAAAGCTCCCATCTGTATGGTGTATGGTGAAAAGTGGTTATAAGATGCTTGTAGCTTTCAGGAATTATTTGGTAGTGCTGATTTAAACTTTATTTTTCATGAAAAACAAACATTTTTATAGAAATTGGTCCAAAAAAATTATAATTTATTGTATTTTTATTAAAAAAAGTTGCAGACTATAAACAGGACTATTTTGTGAATTTGTGATAGAAAGATGGAACTGACGGGGAAAAGGTTAAAGATGACAACTTTCTGTATATTTCACAATTTTGTGTTTACTATTAGTAATTTAAGCACTAGATCAGGTTGTTGTTCTCATTACTATATAAGCTGACCATATTTTATTCACCATATATGGTCATGTTATCCACTATGGTGCACATTTCTTAGTTTCAATAGTCTGCCCTCTACTGACAACAATAGGAAATGCAGAATTTGATTTGCCAGTATAACATGTGTAACATTTCAGTATTACGGGTAGTATTAATACACTAGCATATATGTGTTAGATTTTTGTTCAAATAGGTTTATGATTTGTTTCTGCCCAGGGAAACAGCTGACCACGGGAGCCAAACCTACAATCTCTGATGTTGATCAGATACAATAACCATTATGCCACACATCAGTTTACAAATGCATGGTAAGTTTTGAGCACTGCACACATAGAATCAGGGACATCCACCGTTGGCGGCGCTGTACAATTTTAAAATCATTGGTGGCTCACACAAATATCTTTCTAGTATAAAAAGCAAAAACCTAGTGAATAGTTTGGTATGGTAGGAAGCGTGTAGAGTCTTCTAACTACCACAACAGACAGACTGAAAGTCACGGCCAAAAATATGTGGTTGTAGTGTTTTATGATCAATGCTTTTGATTAATAATTGGACGTAAAAATAATTTTCGTGGCATATGCCTACGTCATAACCTCATTATCGTTATTAGAATATTTTATCTGTACCACGACAGGTCAGCACAATACAAAATCTTGGGGGCGGATATCCGAATATTTCTAGGTTAAGACACAGGTTTACGATCTGCAGTCAATCTGCAGTCGCAAACTGTGGTCCTGAATGTTATGCCAAAAGCTTGCTTTATTGTCTGATGCAATCAACCCCCACACAATGTGATAAATGGATAGCCGCTATATGCAGAAACAATTTAGAAGGCTCACACTGGAGCCCACTGAAATCAACTACTATGTGTATGTACGTTTTATTCCCAGTGATTATTTATAAATTATGTATTTTTGAAATTCTAGTGAAATGCCTGTTCTCTAAATTAAAAAAAAAGTTGATGTTGAAAATCAATTTTGAAAACCAATGAACTTTGTTTTCAATGAATGCTCTCACTACTAAAGTCTAGCAACAACTGTAATATTATTTTAATATTTACTAAGATGTTGTATTTCTTACTAACAGAAATATATTGTACACTTTTCAGTTCCAAATAATTCATTTCCATTGTATTATTTTCCATGATTACTACCACTTCTTTTTCCTTTTTCCAGTGATTTCTACTTCTAGTTGCCATAATACTGGATAAGAGTCCATAATTAGGTGGAAAACAGTTACTTGGCATTTTGCATGCAGTGATACTCAAGTGGGCAGCCATGCATCTCTGGCAAACAACTCATTGAAAGCTTGCACTTTGGCTGAAAACCATCTATATGAAATGTTAAAAACAAATTGATATTACCTTTTTTGTTGGCATCCCGGTACTCCTGACCTCCAGCTGTCATGAATTGTTGATGTGTATCATGTTGTGGCAACTGATTGATAGAACAAGAGCTTTTTGCAGACGGATCCTACCTTCCAATAAACTATCCCATAATACTATCATACAACAACAAAAAAGAACAATATTAGCAGCTTTTATTGAAAAATGACAAACACCACCACCAAATGTTAGAAATGACTCCATGATTCTTACAAAGTTGGTCTTTTGCAGCTTTCCCTTTTGCTACTTCTTCTGTGACATCAGTTTTTGAAATACTTTTCACATCGTTGATGTCATCATCCATGTCAGTTTCATCTTCTGTTTCAATGGAATCAGAAATATCTAAGAAAATAAAAAGTTGACATAAAGAAAAGCTAAAACTTGATTTGAATTTAGAATTAAATATTATTTGAAATATTTCCAGTATTTATGAAAAGAATAACAGAATTTTGAGAAATTTCAAACACTGCTACCTACCATTTTCTTCTGATTCGTCTCCAGACTGATCTTCTTCATCAAAATCATCATCAGCAAATCGACTGAAATCACCGTCAAATTTAAACTTCTGTTTGCTTCCTTCAACATCTGTGATTTTAGCATCATCTTCAATGATGTCATCACTATCTGTGTACTTGTCATCATCCATATCACTATCATTCTCTGAAATGTTTGAAGATCAGGCATTAATGAGACATACAGCCTGCATTTAAGAAACAAGACACACTTCTCAGAGTATATTAATTATTTTGTCCTGTATATCACAGTCTATAGAGGGACTGTGTGTATATAGTGTATTCCTTCAACTATTGTATATTTAATGATACAATAATTGTACTTTTAGGCCAATGGCCTGTAGTATAGAATAAACATATTATTATTATTTTCTTAGCTCAATAATGTCTTTTCTGACTTTCATATGTAAATGGTCATTAGTGTAGTCATAGGAACACTATTTTTCATTGTACAAGATACAAGTGCAGAGTATACAGTTTTGAGGGAAGACTTTGTTATTGTTTGGGGTTGGTTAGAGGTCTGTATATTTCAAGACTTTTGGTTAAGTTTTGGATAGGTGTAATGTATCCACACAAGAAACACAAGATCACAAACAAACATGGCGGGCATCTCCAGGCGCAGACGACACTCGTTAAGGGGGCGTCTCAAATGACTAACTATGACTAACTATGATAAGGTCAAGGGTCATCTCACAAGTACAATGAAAAGTGAATATACTACACGTCCCCTTCCTTAAGCTTTTGAATACATACAAATGCTAGTTGTGTGCATAAGAGTTCTGCAATTTGCCTTCAAAAAAAACTTCAAAAGTTACAACAATATAAATAACAATTAACCTAACTAGAGGGGAGAGGTTTTCCAGCACAAATCACCCTCGCTAGTGAATCTTCAGCATTCACCTTCCCTGCTC